CTGTGCAATGGTGCTAGCCCCTCTTCTAACAATTTTTATTTTCTTCTTTACTTTAAAATTTTTAATCCACTTGTAATTTCTTAAAATCTAGTGTACGGAAATAATTTAATTTAAATTTTTGTATAAGTAGCCCACTGTTCCACTATTGAGTTTTTTTTTTTTTTTTAATCATTTCCCATTGATGGCTGTGCTGTTTCTGTTCTATACCATGTTTCCTTATGTACTTAAGTTGTTTGGGACCTAATCTGCTCTTTTAATTGATGTGATTACCCCTATACAAATATGGTATTGTTTTTAAAAATGTGGCTTTATGATAAAATTTTCTTATCTGGTAGGTCTATTTTCCTCCTCCTTATTTTTTCCTCAAATTATCTTTATTATTTTTGGCTTATTTGCTCTTACGCATAAAATTCAGAACCAATTAAGATCCATAAAAAGGCCCCTTGGTATTTTGATTCTTTATGCCCTTCAATATATTTTTTAAAAGATTTATTTATTTTTCTTGGAAAGAAAAGGAGATACAAAGAGAAAGATCTTCCATCTGCTAGTTTATTCCCCAAATGGCTGCAATGGCCAGAGCTGAGCTAATCTGAAGCCAGGAGCCAGGAGCTTCTTCCTGATCTCCCACACAGGTACAGAATCCCAGACTTTGGATTGTCCTCTACTGCTTTCCCAGGACACAAGCAAGGAGTGGGATGAGAAATGGAACTGCCAGGACACGAACATTTGCTCACATGGAGACCACACATTCAAGGTAAGGGTGTAGCCACTGGGCCATTGTGCAGGGCCCTCAATAATGTTTTGTAAATTTCTCCTTAAAAGATTTACATATCAACTACCCCAGCTAAGTGTTGACAGCAAATATCTGGCAGAATGGAGACTCTAGGGTGGACTGTGTCAGCACATGGACCGTGGAAGGATTTCCTCATCTTTGGATTGTTAAGATAAACAGCATATCAGAACTATGAAAACCACTTGAGCAGAACCCTTGGAGCATGCTCCACATGTGGGTCCCTGGAAAGACAATGACAAGGTTGCTGCCATATTCAGGGTCAAAAAACCCTACAACAACAGCACCAGACCCTTGAAAGTATATTTTTATCACTAAGACACTACTGATGTGGAAATATTTTCTTTACCAGTAATTCGCTGAATTATTTTGATATTTTTCTTGGAATTCTTAAGTAGATAATCATTTCCACAGTAAGTAACAAAGATTTTTCTTTTCTGCTTTCTAATCCTTGATCTTCATATTTATGAAAGTTATTGTTTATTATATTGATTAGACTCTAGCATGACATTTAACGGTGGAATGGAGGGGAAAGCTGCTTTGTGGAGTTTCTTGTTGTAGAGAAACCCCTCCTAGTGGCTTGCTCTTAACCATGCTGTGTGCTGTAGGATTGCCGGAGGTTTTAGGTGGATTGCCGTCTCTCATTTTATCTGTTCTAGTCTCCTTGTAGCAAAAGAGGTTCAGGGTTGTAGCTGGTCATCTAGCTGTCTGAACTATACACGCTCCCTCTCCCTGACAGTCAGTAGATTTTTTTTCTATCTTCTGAACTCCAGCTCACTAGTGATAATTAAAACGGGGAGCTTGTCCTTGAAGGAAAGGAAAGCTCTTCCCTCTCCTCTTCCTCCTTGTTTCTGTTTGCAGGGATATGTTCTTGACAACTGAGGTAGAAAGGCATATTATAGTCCACAAGATGGAACCATGGCAGAAAATCAGAAAGAACAGGTTGAGTTTTGGTGGCCTTGCAGCTGCCATCTGAGGCAGAGATTGTCCTATCCATGTGAGCAAGAAATCTAATCCACTATTTTTATGTGTAGAGTTTTTTGAAAAAAAAAATCTTTTTTTTTATAGTGAATCTTAAACCCCAGATAGGTTAAACAGATTCCCTTTTATTCCTACCCTGCTCTGAATTTTATTTCATGATTAATATTTTACAGTGTTTTTTCTACATTGACTGAGGTGGTCATCACTTTTGTCTTCCTTAAAATAATCTTTCAAAAATCACCCTCAATTTTTATATATCTTGTGTTTGTTTCTTTTTTTTTTTTTTAATGTATTTTATTGGAAAGGCGGATATACAGAGAGGAGAGACAGAGAGGAAGATATTCCGTCCGATGATTCACTCCCCAAGTGAGCGCAACGGCCGATGCTATGCCGGTCCGAAGCCAGGAGCCTCTTCCTGGGCTCCCACGTGGGTGCAGGGTCCCAAAGCTTTGGGCCATCCTCGACTGCCTTCCCGGGCCACAGGCAGGGAGCTGGAAGGGAAGCGGGGCTGCCGGGATTAGAACTGGCGTCCACATGGGATCCTGGGCGTGCAAGGCGAGGACCTTTAACCACTTGCGCCACCATGCTGCGCCGGGCCCTTGTGTTTGTTTCTAACCAGGCTAGGCAAACCGATTTTGTTATTGTAAAACAATTACTTTGAACTGTCTCCTAATTAGACAAACTTTAAATTATACAAGAATAGGGCCCAGCAAGGGTCCTCACCTTGAACTCATCGGGATCCCATATGGGCACCCGTTCTAATCCCGGAAGTTCCACTTCCCATCCAGCTCCCTGCCTGTGGCCTGGGAAGGCACTGGAGGATGGTCCGATGCCTTGGGACCCTGAACCTGCGTAGGAGACCTAGAGGAAGTTCCTGGCTTCTGGCTTCAGATCAGCGCAGCACCAGCTGATGCGGTTACTTCGGGAGTGAATCACTGGACAGAAAAACTTTCTCTCTCTCTCCTCCTCTCCATATATCTGACTTTGCAATAAAAATAAATAAATCTTTTAAAAAAATATACAAGAATAAACTGATTAAGAGACACAGAACTTTAAATACTCTGAAGTTAGAATGAATTTTTTTTTTTTTTACTTTTTAAAGATTTATTTATTTGCAAAGCAGAGTGATAGAGAAAAGGGATTTTCCTAAGCTACTTCCCCATAACAGCCTGTAATTGCCTGGTCACGGCAGGGCTAGGAAAAGTGAGGATTTAGCCATGAAGCCATCATGCTGGGCCCTTAAGATTCATTTTATTGGGCCTAGTGCAATAGCTTAATTGACTAACCCTCTCCTTGCAAGTGCCAGTATTCCATAGGGGTGTCAGTTCCTGTCCCAGCTGTTCCACTTCCCTCCCAGCTCCTTGCTTGTAGCCTAGGAAACCAGTGGAGGACAACCCAAAGCCTTGGGACCCTGGACCCAAGTGGGAGACACAGAAGATACTCCTGGCCTCAGGGTTCAGATCAGGTCAGCTCCAGCCATTGCAGCCAGTTGGAGGGTAAACCAGCAGATGGAAGATCTTTCTGTATCTCCTTCTCTCTGTAAATCTGCCTTCCTAATAAAAATAAAGGAAACCTTAAAAAATAATACTTATTTTATTTATGTAAAAGCCAAAGTTACAGAGTGAAGGAGAAACAGGAAAGAAAGAAATCCTTCATCTATAGTTTACCCCCAAGATGGCCACAATGGCCAGGAGCTGGGCCATGCTGAAGCCAGGAGCCAGGAACCAGGAGCTTCTTCCAAGTCTCCCACATGGGTGCAGGGTCCCAAGGCTTTGGGCCATCCTCGACTGCTTTCCCAGGCCAGAAGCAGGGAGCTGGATGGGAGGTAGAGCTGCAGGGATTAGAACTGGCACCCATATGGGATCCTGCTCATGCAAGGCAGGGATTTTAGCAACTAGGCTACTGTGCTGGGCTCCAAAAGTTTTCAAAGAAAGGAAATAAACTCAATGCCAAAAGCAGAGGATTGGCCAAACCACTGAAGATATTGCCTACAATGGGATGTTCCTTTGCCCATCATTAATCATTAAGGTTGTTTATTTGCAGCAAGTGGCTGGCTGTAAATAGTGTAATGACAGCCCTCAGACAGAAGAAGGGACTGAGCTAGTTTATTAGGTTCACAGGGTTACACCAAGAAGGATGCTAGTGTACTTTGTCAGTTTTTATGATGTGTAATGCAAAATATCCATAAAGAAATCCCAGGAAGATACATACTCAGTATCATTCTCTATGTGGTGGCAGAGACCTTCAATCTGTTAAAATGGGATGGGGCTTGAGGGACACAATAAGTCAAAGGCAGGGAGGTGGCCAGGGCAACCTTCTGGGGCAGGGAGCATTTGAAGATAGAAAATAAAAGGCTTTCTAAAACTGGCTGCCTTGGATACAAACTGCCTTTGGTAAGGGCTTTGAAAGAGACAGTCAGTTAACAAGCATGCATTGAAGACAGAAAAAAAAAAAAAAGAAATAGAAACTGATTTCAATTATTCATTCATTCATTCACCACTCAAGCATTATCGATTGCTTGTTACAGATCCAGCATTATGCTAAGTGTTGCACTCTGTTCCTCCCAAGTTTACAGTTCAGCCATGTGGAACACACGCACGTGAAGTCAACTGAGGACTAGAAAATTAGGAGGAAAAACTGGGTTTAGTCCGGCTAAGGAAAGGATCAGAATACCTGGGGTTAATAAGAAGCAGCTTTCTGAAAACTGGAATTTTAAAAAGTTTACCAGAGATTGGGTGAGAAGAAAGCAAGCGTAGAAACGTTTACGTATAACCTGATATCTCAGGTATCTCTCATTTCATGCATGGAGATGTAGCCCTATTTATCCTAAACTTCACACTTTAAACAGTTTTCCCTTCCCACAAAATGTTTAGCTCTTTTCTCTTAGGAGGAGATCCATTGAAAACAAAGTGGAAAGAGGACTGCAATGACAGAATTTCCACGAGGGAGGTTACCTGTGCTGTTATGTATTCCGTGGCAGATACTATAAACATCTACCCAACATCTACTCACCTCTTCCCCCCGCCAATGAACCCAGTTTACATTTTTTAAATTTCTGTTTGTTTGAGAAGCAAAGGAACAGGGAGAGCTCTCATCTGCCAGTTCATTCCCCAACCATCAGGCCTGAGCCAGGCAAAATGAGGAGCCAGGAACTCAAGCGCCTCTGGCAGCTCTGACCTCAGCCCACCCAGATTGAAGGCCAGAAGGAACCACCCGTATGAATCCTTACCTGCCTCCTCGTGAGTCCAGAGAATGGATGCTTGCAATCAAGCGTTTATTCGAGCGAGCACATACCAAGCAGGACGGGGAAGCCTCCCAGAGCGCCCTTGACTTCGGTCTCGTGCAAGTCTGCTGGGCTTTGGTTCCGGCCTGGTGGGAACCTGCTGGGCCTTTGGCTCCGGTCTCGTGGGAGCTTACTGGCTTCAGTGACTGGGACCCAAGGCATGGGTTTTTATACAATTCAGTGAGTCAAGCAAGCGGTTGTTACAACATTTTGATTGGTTATTACATGTTATCTGTCAATAATACTTGCTTTCTCTTAGTTCTGAGAAACGTGACTTTTTTTTACATATTTATCAAGACACAATTTCTTCTTCTTTTATCATTTTTACCGTAACTTGTTTTTCATGAGATGCTTACATACATTAGAGCTTCTTAACAGGAGTGATAAGAGAGGGCTTATTTACATTGGGGTTTCTTGACAGGAGCGATAGGAGAGGAGGCCCCATTTTACCAGTAGTCTAGGAAGATGGAGTCACCTCTGCTCAAAAGCTCGAACATACATACTAAATCGGTTATTAAATCACAGCATAATTTACATAAGAGGTCTATTATTATAGCTATTTCTGGGTCATCAATTTCAGACAAAAGTGTAGTAATATTAAGGATATAATTGAGGTTATTGATAATGTTACTTCCCATATCTCCCATAGATTCATTTTTTTTAAAGATTTATTTTAATTGGAAAGGCGGATAAACAGAGAGGAAGATCATCTGTCCGATGATTCACTCCCCAAGTGAGTGCAACGGCCGATGCTATGCCGATCTGAAGCCAGGAGCCTCTTCCGGGTCTCCCACGCGGGTGCAGGGTCCCAAGGCCTTGGGCCGTCCTCGACTGCTTTCCCGGGCCACAGGCAGGGAGCTGGAAGGGAAGCGGGCCACAGGCAGGGAGCTGGAAGGGAAGCGGGGCTGCCGGGATTAGAACCGGCGCCCATATGGGATCCCGGGCGTGCAAGGCAAGGACCTTAACCACTGCGCCACCATGCTGGGCCCCCATAGATTCATTTTTATCTACACCCATATTAAGCATATATTGATGGGACAGTAAATAAACACAACCAGACTGTTCCTATCAGTTGCCCACTGTGCCCTTCATTCTTCCTCTTCTTGATTAGAGGCCCTTTCTGTCTGCTAAGAATGAGAACAGGGAAGGGGTACGTCTAGAAAGCTCTGTGCCTGCTGGTGTCCTGGGGCTCAGCCGCCTGGATGGCCCCACTCCAGGCTTCTTGCATGAGAAAAATAAAACCTCTAAGCCACTGGTGTTTGTCACTAGCAGCCAAACACAATCCCCGCCTGATAAATAATCTAACCTACTTCTTTCACAGGGAGGAGGCAGAGGCCCAAGAAAGTTTCATAAACCCGGGAAAACGGTGTCCAGTTAAGACTCTCATTTTGAAGTAACAGAAAACCCTATCCCAAATCTTCTTGGCAAAAAAAAAAAAAAAAAAAAAAAAAACTTATCAACTGAGATAACTGAAGTCAGGTGTGGCTTCCTCCAGAGACGCCAGTGAATTTATTTTTTTTCTTTCAGATTCTGGCTTTCTTCTCTGAGTCTTGGCTTTGTTTCCTGGTGATTAGTTCACTGCAGAAAGAGAGAGTGAGCAAGCGGAGAGAGATGGGCTCTTTTCTGTCTGTGGCGCGGTGGTGCCAGCAGGCTCCAGCCCTACCCCACCCAGAATTCAATCCAGATGGGAAGCAGAAGTCCTCCTAGAAGGAGCGTCATACTCACTTCTCAGGAGAAGTCAAGTCCTGCCTAGTCTGTGGCGAAATCCAGGAAGAGCCTACGGTTCCAGGTCAGTTAATTTCCTGCTTATTTTTTTTTTTTTTTTAGTTGAAAGGCAGATTTACAGAGTACACACAGAGAGAAAGATCTTCCATCTGCTGATTCACTCCCCAAATGGCCCCAACAGCCGACGCAAAGCCCCAGGCTTGTTCCAGATCTCCCACATGTGTACAGGTCCTAAGGATCTGAACCATCAAAAGGGCAAGCCTAGCCCACTATACCATGACTCTGGCCCCTACTTCTTACTTTATTTGAGAGACTCTGATCCCCCGCCCTCTTTAAAAAAAAGTTTTTATTATTTATTTTTAATTATTTGAGAGGGACAGAGAGAGACATTCCATCCACTGGTTCACAGTCCCCAAATATCCACATTAGCAGTGGCTGGGCCAGGCAAAAGCCGGAAGCCATAATTTAATTCACTTTTTGATATAAGCAGCAAGGACCCAAGTTTTTTGTTGTTGTTTGTTTTGTTTTTAAAGATTTTATTTATTTTTATTTTTTTAAGATTTATTTATTTTTATTGGAAAGCCAGATATACAGAGAGGAGGAGAGACAGAGAGGAAGATCTTCCGTCTGATGATTCACTCCCCAAGTGAGCGCAACAACCAGTGCTGCGCAGATCTGAAGCCAGGAGCCAGGAACTTCTTTCCAAGTCTCCCACACGGGTGCAGAGTCCCTAGGCTTTGGGCTGTCCTCGGCTGCTTTGTCAGGCCACAAGCAGGGAGCTGGATGGGAAGTGGAGCTGCTGGGATTAGAACCGGTGCCCATATGGGATCCTGGTGAGCTCAAGGCAAGGACCTTAACCACTAATCTAGTGTGCCAAGCCCATAAAGATTTTATTTATTTTTATTTCAATGGCAGATATACAGAAAGGAGGAGAGACAGAGAGGAAGATCTTTCATCTGATGATTCACTCCCCAAGTGGCCACAATGGCCAGAGCTGTGCCAATCTGAAGCCAAGAGCCAGGAGTTTCTTCTGGGTCTCCCACATGATCCAGAGTTCCCAGGCTTTCAGTCGAACTCAACTGCTTTCCCAGGCCAAAGCCAGGAGCTGGATGGGAAGCGAGGCTGCCGGAATTAGAACCAGCATCCTTATGGGATCACACCATGTGCAAAGTGAGGACTTTAGCCACTAGGCTACTGTGTTGGGCCCAAGGATCCAAATTTGAACCAGGATCTGAATCTTACAAAGTAGCATTAACAGGGGGCTGGAATTCAACTAGATATTCTCCAATATGGGGTGTGAGTATCCTTAATGACATATTAGCCACTGTAGCAAATACCTGCCCGCTCTAATAACTTACCCTAAGGTGGGATATACAAAGTACATGAGAAATAGTAGCTATTTTCTTGGCTCACATGAATGATTACAATGTTCCTTTGGAAGTTTTTGACCATTAAATTATGTGAAGACAACAGAGAACTTACTTAATCTAGAAGAAATGAGAAGAGGACTGAGGTGAAACTGCTGCCTGTAGTGCTGGCATGCCATGTGCTGCTGCACTTCTAATCCAGCTCCCTGCTGCAGCTCCTGGGAAGGTGCTGGAGGATGGACTGAGTGCTGGGCTCCTGCACCGACATGAGGCTAGGCAAAACTCCTGACTCCTGACCCAAACCCAGAGAGGGCAGCCATTTGGGGAGTGAAGCAGATGGAAGAGCTCTCTTTCCTTCGCTCCCTGTAACTCTGACTCTCAAATAAATAAATAAATCTCAAAAAACAGAAGTAACAACAAACCAAACGAAAACCCCCTTAGAATACTGTTGGCACTGTATCCAGCAGTGGTCCCCAGTGTCGAAGTCCAGTCTGTCTTGGGGTTTCAGGTTGACTACCTCATACGTTGCAGCTTCTCCTTTGCTTTCAGAGTTAACTCTCTAGACTTTTTAAGTGAATGTTTTTCATACTCCTCATCCATTCTAGAAAGATCTGTACTTAACAATTACAAATGGCAAATGTCTGCTTGTTTTTTGAAGTTCAGTTCATGCTCTCGGGGCTGCCCGAAGTGCTATCAGGCTATTTTCGATCTGCTTTCTACACGCCATGATCCTCGGTCCAGACCTTGCAGAGTAAACCTCAAGTTCCTCATCTCAATGGAAGCATCTACAAGTAGTTTCTCTCTAAAGACATTATGGCTGTTTTGTTCTGTTTTGCAGGAGCCCATGTCTTTTCCAAAATTATTGCCTCTAGGACTGCTGAACTTCTTGCACATTTACTGTGGTTATGAACATTACCTACATGTCATTACTGCAAAAACAAACATTTTAGGTCTTAAGTGTTAATACTCACACATGTCTGGAGTAAAATTTAGGACAATATACTCATGTAGACTTGTTTCTTACTACTTTACCTTAAAAAAAAAAAAGATTTATTTATTTCACTTGAAAGTCAGAATTATAGAGATAGATCTTCCATCTACTTGTTCTCTCCCCAAATGACCACAATGGCCAGAGTTGGGCCAGTCTAAGCTGGGAGCCAGGAGTGTCTTCTGGGTCTTCCACATGGATGCAGGGGCCCAAGGAATTGGGTCATCCTCTGCTGCCTTGCCAGGCCATAAGCAGGGAGCTATATCAGAGGCTGGGACATGAATTGGTACCCACATGGAAAGTAGATGCCATAGGCAGCGGATTAGCTTGCTATGCCCCCACAGTGGCCACTGGTTTACTGATTCTCTGAGTTTTATCAAGTTATATTTACTTGCATTTTCAGTTGGTGAAGAGTAAATCTAAGATAGCTTTTTTCCTCTGATAAAGAGCCTATCAGCGGGATTTCAGAGCTGTCCCGCCCTCTCCATTCCCAGACTTTTAGAACTCTCATTCTGAATATGTGACCAATTTTTGAGTTCTTTCAATTCTATTTCCACATTTCCTAATGTACACAATTCCTTCTTTCTGCTTTCTTTTTCTGCTCTAGTATTTAGGGCCTTATTGATTCTTGGCTAATCCAGGATAAAGAACAATAAATATCCTGGGCAGAATCTTTAAGGTTTTTTGTCTCTGCTTTTTTTTTTTTTTTTTGAAATTATTTTTATCTGAGAGGCAGATTTACAGAGAGATAAAGGATAAAGACAGATAGAAAAAGAGAGAGGAAGAGAGAGAGAGACAGATAGGAAGATCTTCCATTTGCTGATTCACTCCTGAAATAGCCACAATGGCCAGAGTTGAGCCAATCTGAAGCCAGGAATCAGGAGCCTCTTTCAGGTTCCCACAAGGATGCAGGGGCCCAATGCTCTGGGGTTATCCTCTGCTTCTTTCCCAGGCCATAGCCAGGGAGCTGAATCAGAAGTAGAGCAGGGGTCTAGTGCGGTAGCCTAGCGGCTAAAGTCCTCACCTTGCACTCACTGGGATCCCATATG